GGTACAACGCCAGCACCGGGGACTGGCAGAGCCCCCAGGCCTCGGGCGCCTACATCTTCCGTCCCAACTCCTCCGCGCCCGTCCCCGTGGCCGAGCGCGCGGCCACGCGCCTCCTCAAGGTGGGCAGGGGTCCCTGGGGCGCCCCCGGGGGTTTGGGGAGGGGTCTCCCGCCGTCGCTGAGCGTCCCCTCCCCCCGCAGACGGCGCTGGTGCAGGAGCTGCACCAGAACTTCTCGGCGTGGTGCTCGCAGGTGCTGCGGCTGCGCCCGGGGCAGCCCTACCTGGAGCTGGAGTGGACCGTGGGGCCCGTCCCCGTCTGGTGAGTTTTGGGGAGGGGTCTCGGGACCCCCCAGGGCCTCCTCTGGGGACCCCCCGGGGGTGACGGCTGCGCCCCACGCAGGGACGGGCTGGGCAAGGAGATCATCAGCCGCTTCCAGACCCCGCTGCGCACCAACGGCCGCTTCTACACCGACTCCAACGGGCGCCAGGTGCTGCAGCGCAGGTGAGGGGGCTCAGGGGACCCCCCCCAGGGGCTCAGGGGACCCCCCCCAGGGGCTCAGTGGGACTCCCAGGACCCCCCCCAAAGGGCTCAGGTGACCCCCCCCAAGGGCTCAGGTGACCCTCGGGATCCCCCCCAAAGGGCTCAGGTGACCCCTGGGACCCCCCCCAGGGGCTCAGGTGATCCCTGGGACCCCCATGAGAGCTCAGGTGACGCCCGGGACCCCCCCAGGGGCTCAGGTGACCCCTGGGACCCCCCCCCAAGGACTCAGGGGACCCCCCCCAAAGGGCTCAGGTGACCCCCCCAGGGGTACAGGTGACCCCCGTGACCCCCTCCAGGGGTTCAGGTGACCCCCCCAGGGGTACAGGTGACCCCCCCGGGCCCCCCCAGGCGTGACCACCGGCCCACCTGGAACCTGAGCCAGAGCGAGCCCGTGGCCGGGAATTATTACCCCGTGAACACCCGGATCTTCATCAAGGTACCGGGGCTGGGCACACCTGGGCACACCTGGGACACACCTGAACACACCTGGGTACACCTGAACACACCTGGGGACACCTGGGCACACCTGGGGACACCTGGGGTACACCTGGGCACACCTGGGGACAGCTGGGGTACACCTGGGACACACCCAAACACACCTGGGGGCAGCTGGGGACACCTGGGCACACCTGGGACACACCTGAACACACCTGGGGACACCTGGGCACACCTGGGGACACCTGGGGTACACCTGGGCACACCTGAGCACACCTGGGGACACCTGGGGACACCTGGGGTACACCTGGGCACACCTGAGCACACCTGGGCACACCTGGGGCACATCTGAACACACCTGGGCACACCTAAACACCCCTGGGCACACCTGGGGACACTTGGGCACACCTGGGTCACACCTGGGGACACCTAAACACACCTGGGCACACCTGGGTCACACCTGAGCACACCTGGGGACACCTGGGCACACCTGGGTCACACCTGGGGACACCTGGGGACACCTGGGGACACCTGGACACACCCAAACACACCTGGGGACACCTGGGGCATACCTGGGCACACCTGGTCACACCTGTCCCCACCTGGCAGGACCGGCAGGTGCAGCTGACGGTGCTCACCGATACCTGAGCACACCTGGGCACACCTGGGGCACACCAGGGCACACCTGGGCACACCTGGGTCACACCCAAACACACCTGGTCACACCTGTCCCCAC